AAAAAAAGCAAAGCAAACCATCATGTCACGGGTGTGGCACTCGGTGCTGCGGAGGGTTGTGCCCCTTGCAGCAGGCTGACATTCTCTGGACTGGCTCTACAAGACAGAAGCAAGTAAAATCAATGAAGGACTTTAAGTTTGCATTCACATAGATAAATTAAAATTGTAATAATAGTAATACTGGCTATAAGAAAACTCATGATTACTTATTCTTGGCATCACAGTACATCAAAACTGAAGATATTCCAATAAACATCACAACTTTTTTGAACCAATCAGAAGAGGAGCAGTGAATATTTGGCGGCTCTTACTCTGACTTCTGTGACTGGTCCAAAGAACAATGGACTGAAGTCCCAAGTCATAAGCTGTCCCTTTTCTTCATCCATGATCTTTACACATAAACCACAATCAGTTAAAATAGTGTTTTCATCTATTTTTCCTTCAGCCAGCCATCAATCGTTAACAACTGATAAATCATGGTGTATCTGTACCTCATCCATGATGACCTCCAGGTCTTCATCAGCAGTAAAGTCATCTGATGACTCCTGATGCTGATGGTCTGAAACAGAATATTCAGTGTCCAGTCATTTAGCTTTTAATATTGCTGAATGACATTAACTGTCAAGTCAGTTTATGATGCTCTTGCTAACTCCTTGCAGCAGTGCGTTGGAATTAATGCATTGGGTCTGCATAGGGTATTTAGTGGATTTAATGGAACTGAACAGGTAATGGTAACGAAAATTGTATGTACGTGTTTTGCCACGAAATTTATAAATAACATATCTGTTAGACTGTATGACATACGTGTATATCTGATTATTATGACTGCATGACATATTATTAAGATAAATTTACTGAACAGGGAACTGTCAGTTTGTCAGGGTCAGCACCCCTCTGTCTGAGTGTTTCGTGTCTCCTCCCCATTTGGCCAGCAGATGTCGCTGGCCAGCCTGTCCTCCCTGTTGTTTGTGTTTTCCACTGCACCTCAGATGCCCGCAGAGCTCAGTGAGTTGACCATGTGGTTACGTGTAATCCTCTCAGTCATGTGTTCAGATCCCGCTTCCTCTGTTTTTGTATTTTTGTAGATTTTTCTTCCTAGTGTTTAATTTATCATGCGTTTGTGGTTTGCTTTCTGTTTTGGTTTTTGCTTTGGTTGTGTTTTACCGGTTTTGGTTATTCCCCAGTATTAGATTCTGTTTCCTTGTTTCTGTCAGCTTCTTAGTTTCCATGTTTGATCTCCCAGTTCCTTGAGTTAATTATTAATTTCACCTGTTTCCTGTTTCACTAGCCCTTGTTAATTGTTTTCACCTGTCCTGTATTACTCTCGTTAACCTTTTTGTATTTAAGTTTCCAATTCCGTTCTTTTCCTTCTGGAGTCATTGATGTTGATGTTGTTCCTGTTGCTGATGTTCTTGTCGCCTGTGGTTTCTGCTATTTTTTGATTCCCTGCCTGTTCCCTGTGTAGCTAGTTTCCCTTTGCAGATCATTTTGTTCTGTTAGTTACTTTGTACCCTTTTTAGGTTTGACCCCTTGTGGTCCAATTTTTTTCCTAGTGTTTTCTGTTTCTGTAAATAAACCCCTGTTGTGTGATCCTATGAGTCGCAAATGGATCATCCACGTATTACATGCCCACACATGCCACGCCCCCGTGCTAGAACCTCCCGAGCCCATGACACGGTTTGACAGTTTTAAATGAGACAGGAAGGAATACGTAGCATTAACAGGGCAGTAAATAGATTAATATTCAAATAAGGTATTGCACAAAGTTATATAAAAATCACAGAAAGCTGAACCTTTGGTGGCAAACAATAATTGTCATCTAGCAAAAGTCACTGGCACTCACTGTAACACCCAGTGCACTAACCCAACACTACTTGTGTCATCACTCTGGCCTCTTGCACATCATTAAAGGTTTAACTGGCTGGGCCACTCAGAATGTCAGTATTGATGGACATACTGGACACACACACAACATTTTACC